CGCGCAGCAGCCAGCGGGAAATTGCCCTGGCACAGATGATTAGAGGTGTTAATAGACCGGCTTAAGGGGCCCAGGAGCGGCACTGCAGCAGCCCAGGCATTTTTCTCTCCCACTGCTTGTCTAGAATAGAGCTGGATCCACAAAACCATCTTATTTTAGGCCAGCCTGACCATTTTCCAGCTGAGGCCTTACGCAGAAGCCATCATGGGGGCTTAAGTCACCTGGTGCTTTTTCAAGCTCGCAACCACTCATCTTCTGCAGACCAGAGCCTTGGCAGTGTAAAATAGGAGAGAGGAGGCTTAGTTATTTTGAAGCGGAGAGTTTCCCTGCAGTAGGAAGGAAGAGGAGAAGCTTGCCAGCATCTCTGTACCAGAAGGTTGCAGAGAAGCCAGGCTGGAGCTCCAGTGCTGATCTGTGCAGAAATCCCCATGCCGAGGGTTTCTGGGCAGCTCTGCCCTCCCTCCTGTGCCTTCCCTGCCTGCGCTGCTGCTGCTTCCCAGCTCCTGGGGTTTCCTGCGCTGCCGAGCAGCTGCCTGGAGCACCTGGGTGTGCTCAGGAAACGTTGGACAAAAGCAAGATACGCCGAGCGTGGGGGCCCCATCCCTCCACCCCCAGGCCCCAAAAAAGCCCTCGCCACTGCTCTCCTCACCCCGCGTTGGAGGTGCTGGATCAGTGCTGCAGGAGGCGATGGTAAGAAACAAGTAACATCACTGGGTGCCTTGAATTTCCTGTCCTTGGAAGCCCAGGGTTGTGCATCCCGGCGTTTAGAGGTTTAAACGCTACATGGCTGCGGAGACCCCCCCGGGAGGGACAAACATCCGCTTAGGCACATCCTCTCTGCTGTAAGGCTGCGCTGCCGCTCCATGGGGCAGGGGACGAGGTGCTGTGCTGGGAGGGAGGGAGGGCTGGCGAGCGGTTTTGGTGCTGGAAGGAGCATCGCTCTCCCAAACATCCCTACAGCCTGAGAGGCAGGGATGCCTCATGCCAGCCTGTGCTTCGAGCAGCACTGGGAATTCATCAGCAGCCATCGCTGGTGGCAGAAATGTGGATGAGAAGCTTCTGCGAGCGATCGTGCTCAGATGGTGGCTTGCTCCAGGCTCTGCTTTACAAGCACATTTCCCAGGGCTCGGCTGCAGACCACAGCAGTCACAGCACCTGAGCTGGTCGAACCGGAGATGAGAGCATGTTGCAAACCACTTGGCATTGGGGAGAGCTTGGATTCGCAGCTGCTGGGCTGTAACTTGAAGCACTGCAGCTCTCCCGCAGAACTGGAAATGTCAGCCTCTCACTGGGAGCACTGGCCTGCCCCTCCTGCCAGGCCAGCGGGCACAGGGCTCGCAGCTCCAGTGTGCTCCTGCTGAGCATCTCAGCACACGGCCAGGACAGAGACAAGCCGAATTGTTAGCTCGAGTCAGCATGGCACTGAAAACGGATCCAGGCACTGGGGCAGCAAGAGCTGCCTTCCTGGTGGGATGTCAGCCACCCTTAGCCAGACCCGCAGGCACCTTCCCCTCCCCAAAGAGCAGCAAAACAGATGTACAGCCCTGTCCCTCTGTCCCCAGCAGTGCGACCAGTGGTCCTGAGCCCTCCACGGGAAGGCAGGTCAAGGCATGGGCAGCCCACACAACAGCTCATTGCCTGCAGAAAGGGCTTGTTTGCTGTTTGAAAAGACCTCGATTTCCCTATGCGCAGATGCTGTGACACTAACTGGGAGGTTGTTTCAGTCTTATGAAACAGGGAGGGATGTAAATGCTGTGTCTGCTGTGATGGATCCCAGCAGAGGGACACTTGTTGTCCAGTTCTCTTAGTAAAACTGTCCGGTTTTTCCCTTCTGCAAGAACAAGCATCCACTCAGCAGCATCCTGTTGCTCTGAGACTGTTTATTATTAAAGTCATGGAGAGGGGCAGCATTAACACCAGCTAAATCTATCATTAAACACAGACATTATTTTTCTCCTGTCCAAAGAATAACACAAACTTTAGCAGATCATCCCTCCTCAGTCTGTCTGCAACCTGCAAGCACCTCCAGGTCAGCCAGCAGCGACCCACTGCATGCCAGGTGCTCTATTGCCCATCACCCTAGAAGTCCCTGGAGACACAACTCTGGACACGGGATCCCGCTTTGATTTCCAGCCTGAACACGCTCGCTAGAAGATGTGTTTAAGGCTCAGTTCTCCCCGGCAGCAGAGGCTCTCGGGAAGCAGAGCGGAGGTTTTGGAGTGGGAGAAGGCGAGGTTTTGCAGTTGCCTCAGTGCAGAGAGGAGGTGGCTGAGCTGTAAGGAAACGCTGTTCTCGTTTGCACTTCAAATCATTTCTTCTGCTGGTACTTTTGCCTCCAGGCTGGTTCCCCCGTCTCTCCTTGGCCGTCAGCGGGACGTGGCAAAACCGATGCAGTTGTTGCGCCGGTCGAATTTGGTGTAGTAGTGCCCGATGAAGCTGGCGCCCAGGATCCAGAGGGGACCGGCTGGGGGTGGGATGTCCAGCCCTGAGAAAGCCACTACACAGATGTCCTCCCCATACTGGGATTGCTGCAAAGAGGAGGAGATCCGTGCAGTGATGGAGGTGCCGGGAGGGAGATCTGTACTGCAGCTTGCCCGAGGAAGGGCTGTGATCCCCAGCTCAGCACCCTCTGCTTGGCCTCAACATTCCTTCCTCCAGGAAGAAGGATCCCTGCCTGTCTCTGCTCTTTGCCGCTCACCCCAAATTTCCCCAAATCCACCCAAGGAAGCAGTGACAGGTTGGTCTGGCTCATCTGGACACCTCTGCCGAACAGGAAGGTTTTGGGAGAAAACAAGAAGCATCATTCTGGGGCTCATCTCAGCTGCTTTAGGGGAGCCAGGAAGGCGCAGGATGCTGCAGGAGAGCTGCACCCCGAGGTGCACTGTTCTCCCCAGCAGAAACACCCAGCCTAGGGAGAGCCACCCTCCCACCCTGCACGGAGGGGTGCACCTTACCCGAAGGATGTAGGCTGAGCCACTGAGCGCGTAAGCCTTCCCCCCCAGGTGGAAGGAGATGTTGGGCAGCTGAGGGACTCGGTCGCAGTCAACCACATACTGCAGGAGGAGGAGACAGCACTGAGCCCGTTTGCTGGGGCAGGGATGGGCCAGGGAATAGGTGGTGGGGGTCAGGGACGCGGAGCGGGGCAGAGTGGGGGTGTGCTCACCTCTCCTTCTGCCATTTCTGCTGCCCCGATGGCTTTCATCAGCACGGAGATGGGGCCAGCTGGGCCCGTGATGTAGGATGCTCCCGTGTCGACAGCCACTGAGCAGCCTTCCTTGCAGAACAGGATTTCAGCCCCTACAGACACTCTGGAGTAGGAGGGGAGAGGGGTGACCCTCAGCCTCTTGCACTGGTTGCAGCTTGGATCCCAGGGCTGTACGTGCCCACGGGCGAGTGTGCCACATCTTTGTCCAGGGAATATTGACCAAGCAGAGCATGTGCTGCTCCCAGTGCCTCCGGAGCACAGGCTCTCCAGTAGCACCAAGAACCACCCCTTCAGGCTTCTCAAACCTGAAAGCTAAGCCTCATCATGTGTGGTTTTATTTTTTTTTGAAATTAAACAAAGCAGAATTGTTTCAGTGCTTCACACTCCTGCAGGACTACAGGGGGTTAAACTTCCACTGCAGCTTCCAAGTTGAATCAGCCCACGGTGCCACCCCCTCTGCATTCCGGGCACTTGCAGAGCACCCGAACAGCTCTGTGCTGGAGGAACCCACCCCGCTCCCCTCCAAAGGGAAAAGCATCCGCCAGCGACTCCGAGGGAACACCCGCCTCCGTGGACCACGTTCCCCAGCACCTGGGAAGCTTTTCCCAGGCCAGCCCTTGCACACCCGGGGAGGTTTGCAGGATGCGGCCCGGTGCTGTGCAGATGCTCCTCGGCCTCACCCCTTCATGCTGATCTGCCAGTAGCCACTTCTGCTGACATTCAGGTAGTGGAAGTCCCCGGTGTAGTAGGTTGGGTCGCTGCCTCCCAGGATTATTTCCCCCCCAGGTTTCAGAGGAGCATTCCTAGGGTGCAAAACACAGTGCAGTGATTCCCCCTTGGCTGCTGTCCCTGAAAAAACAGCGGGAAGTGACCAGCCTTGCCCGTGAGGCTCTGCTGACCCGGTTAGCAGTGGCGGAGAGCAGGTTGGAGCAGAAGAAACCCCGAGTTAGTTCAGAGGGGTGCGAGAGCCAGCAGGAGAGGGGGTACCACATGCTGAGGTCTCCAAGCAGGTCGGTGCTGGCTCCTGCACAGGGCAGGCA